TGAACCCGGCAAACAAGGTCCCTCCGGTTCCCCCGGTGAGCGCGGCCCTCCCGGCCCCATGGGCCCCCCCGGCCTGGCTGGACCCCCCGGAGAAGCTGGACGTGAGGTGGGTGGCCGTGGGCATCCATCGGTTTTTGGTGGCACCGACGCCCCCGTGTGTCAGCGTTGGGCTCGTTGTGCTGAGGACTTGCCAGCTCGTGGCACTGGTGGATGTTGCCGCGGTTGGTGCATGGAGAGGCCCGTGTTGAGCTGAGCAGTGACCCCTCTTCACCCCCCACCATCCCTAACGAGGGTCTTTCCTCCTCCGCAGGGTGCTCCTGGTGCTGAAGGTGCCCCCGGCCGTGATGGTGCTGCTGGTCCCAAGGTGAGTGGGCTGTGAGGGGGGCACAGTAGGGGGTGATGGGGTTGTGCTGGCCCACACTGACCTCTCCTCTTCCTCCTCTTCCTCCTCTTCCTCTTCCTCCTCACAGGGTGACCGTGGTGAGACTGGCCCTGCCGGCCCCCCTGGTGCTCCCGGTGCCCCCGGTGCCCCCGGCCCTGTCGGTCCTGCTGGCAAGAACGGAGATCGTGGTGAGACTGTAAGTGCTGCTCTGCCCAGAGCCCCCCTTGTACCCCTCCCTGGCCCAGGGGCACTCCAAGAGGGATCTTATTCGTGGGGCCTGGACTCAGGCTCAGCTCTTGCCGCTGAAAGGGGCTTCCCCAGGATGCCAGGGGTGCCACCACCCTTCTCAGGGTGATGCCAGGGGTCCCACCACCCCTCTCAGGGTGATGCCAGGGGCGCCACCACCCTTCTTAGGGTGATGCTAGGGGTCTCACCACCCTGCAAAGGGTGGTGCCAGGGGTCCCACCATTCCTCTCAGGGTGATGCCACAGATCTCACCACCCTGCAAAGAGTGAAACCAGGGGTGCCACCACCCTGCTCAGGATGAAGTCAGAGGTCCCACTGCCCCGCTCAGGGTGATGCTGCCCCAAGCCAGTGGCAGTGGAAGGTGGAGGATGCTCTAACCTGTCCCATTCTCTCCTGTCTCAGGGTCCCCAAGGTCCTGCTGGCCCTCCTGGTCCTGCTGGTGCTCGTGGTCCTGCTGTAAGTTGATGTTCTCCTCCATCCTCCTCAGTGTCTCTGTGTCCCCACGGGTGTGGGGGCAGTGGTTGGTCTGGACCTCACTCAACACATCTTCCTCCTCCTCCTCCTCTTCCTCCTCCAGGGCCCACAAGGTCCCCGTGGTGACAAAGGTGAAGCTGGTGAACAGGGTGACAGAGGCATGAAGGGTCACAGAGGCTTCTCCGGTCTTCAGGGCCCACCTGGTCCTCCTGTAAGTCCCGTGGGGTGACGGTGGCTCCGGGTGCTGCCCCATGTCCTGGAGGCAGCACGAGATGCTGATGGTACCTCTTCCTCTTCTTCCTTGCTTGGCACAGGGCTCTCCTGGTGAACAAGGTCCTTCTGGTGCTTCTGGTCCCGCCGGTCCACGAGTAAGTCCCTGGATGAACCGCGATATCCAGTATCCCAAGAGGGAACGGGAGTCCCCACCACCATCGGGCTCCTCGTGGGGCTGTGGGTCAGGGCTTGAGGGGACGACTCTGCCCGGGCAGGACGGCCACGCTCACCCTTTCTCCCATCCCACAGGGTCCTCCTGGCTCCGCTGGTGCTGCTGGCAAAGATGGTCTCAACGGGCTGCCCGGCCCCATCGGCCCCCCTGGCCCCCGCGGGCGCACCGGCGATGTTGGCCCCGTCGTACGTACCTGCCCCTCCGCCACCCGCCCAGCACCACCTCCTTCATCATCTGCCTGCTCACCGTCCTCCTCCTCCTCTCCTCCCGCAGGGTCCCCCCGGCCCACCTGGTCCCCCTGGTCCTCCTGGCCCCCCCAGTGGTGGATTCGACTTCAGCTTCCTGCCCCAGCCGCCCCAGGAGAAGGCCCACGATGGTGGGCGCTACTACAGGGCTGACGATGCCAACGTGATGCGTGACCGCGACCTGGAGGTCGACACCACCCTCAAGAGCCTGAGCCAACAGATCGAGAACATCCGCAGCCCCGAGGGCACTCGCAAGAACCCTGCCCGGACCTGCCGCGACCTGAAGATGTGCCATGGCGACTGGAAGAGCGGTCAGTGTCCCATGCCCCTCTGTGCCCTCACCTCCATCCCTCTGTCCCCTCTACCTGCTCCTCACCTCCGGCCTTCTTCCATCCCCATGGTTGATTCCCATCTTCATTCCTCCATCCTGTCTCTCATGGCTGCTCTCACCTCCATCCTCTGTCCCTCCATCTCCTGTTTTCCCCTCACCTCCTCCCTCTTCTCCTCCTTGTGGCTGTTGCCCAACTCCACGATCCACTCCTGAGCTTCCTCCTACCTGCTCCTCATCTCCCTCCTCCACCTCTCACAGCTGCTCCTCACCTCCCTCCTTCATCTCTTCATTCTCAAGCTCTCATATCCTTCATCGTTCCATCTCACATCCCTCAACTATCCCTCCATCCTCTGTTCCTGCCACTTGCTCCTCACCTCCATCTTCATCATCTGTGGCTGTTCCTCACTGTCATCCTTCATCCCTCCTGACTGTTCCGCACCTCCATCCCTCTGGCTGCTCCTCACCTCCATCCCTCTGGCTGCTCCTCACCTGATCCCTCCTAGCTGCTCCTCCTTCCTGGCTGCTCCTCCCCTTTTTTTCCCTGGGTTGCTCCTCTCTTCCATCCCTCTTGTCTGCTCCACACCTCCATCCCCCACCCTGACCCCCCTCCCTTCATCCCACAGGCGAATACTGGATCGACCCCAACCAAGGCTGCAACCTGGACGCCATCAAGGTCTACTGCAACATGGAAACGGGCGAGACGTGCGTCTACCCGACCCAGGCCACCATCGCCCAGAAGAACTGGTACCTCAGCAAGAACCCCAAGGAGAAGAAGCACGTCTGGTTCGGCGAGACGATGAGCGACGGCTTCCAGGTGAGCACGGGGGCCACGAGGTCAGGGGCCAACCAGGCTGGGGGACCTCCACGGTGACCGATTCCTCTTCTCCCACAGTTTGAGTACGGCGGTGAGGGCTCCAACCCCGCCGACGTCGCCATCCAACTGACCTTCCTGCGCCTCATGTCCACCGAGGCCTCCCAAAACATCACCTACCACTGCAAGAACAGCGTCGCCTACATGGACCAGGACACCGGCAACCTGAAGAAGGCTCTTCTCCTCCAAGGCGCCAACGAGATCGAGATCAGGGCTGAAGGCAACAGCCGCTTCACCTACGGCGTCACTGAGGACGGCTGCACGGTGGGTGCTCGGGGGCGGGGGGTCCCGGCGGGGCGGTGGGACGTCTTGTGGGGATGGGGATGACCGTGGTGTCCCCACAGAGTCACACCGGCGCGTGGGGCAAGACAGTCATCGAGTACAAGACGACGAAGACGTCTCGCCTTCCCATCATTGATTTGGCTCCTATGGATGTCGGCGCTCCAGACCAGGAATTCGGCGTTAACATCGGCCCAGTCTGCTTCTTGTAAACCGGACACCCTCCCCCCCGAAAGCGTGACAGGAGAGAGTAATAATAATGATAATAATAATAAAAAAAAGAAAAAAAAAACAGCCAAAAAAAAAAGGAGAAAATTTCACATGGACTTGAATTTGTGTCGGTTTTCTATCCAGCGTCTCTAAAAGAAAGAAAAGAGAAAAACCTAAAAATCCCTCCCCCCACAAAAAAAGCATTAAACCAAA